ATGATATCGTTGAACTGGAACTGAACATCTTTTGTACAAATGAGTAATAGTCGTTTGATTTCTGGTACTGGTAGAGGTAGAATGTCAGAATGTTGACAAATTATGTCTATGGTTTCAAGAAGTGGTATTTTTGTAAACAATGATGTTACATCAAAAGAAACCATAAAATTAACAGCAATATTTATGTGAATCATGCTGTCAGCAAATACAAATGAATCCTTTAGTGTATAGATGGCTAATCGTTGAGGCACTGGTTCTAACTTATCTACCAACCATCGTGCAACTTTGTGGTATGGTGAATTGATCATTGACAAAATAGATCTAAGAGGATAACATTGTTTATGTATTTTCGGTAATCCATACATGTGGGGCAAATGAGATCCACGAGGTCATGGATTATTGTAAGTAGAGTTATCGATCATCTTCTTTTTCAGAAGATGTCTGAGTACTTTGGTGATTCTTTTCTCAATGGAATCAGTTAAGTCTTTGTTACTTTTTTCTAACTTGAATCACATATGTTCATTCAAGATGGACTTCATCTTAGAGACATAGTCTGTTTTGCTCATTAGAACAACACTTGAGCCTTGTCTGACCGTAATATCATTATATCGTCATTTCGTTTAATATTTCGTAATGCTGTTTGATGGTCTTTGGATAAAAGCTTAGACTGTGGTGCGGGTGAAACAAGATATTGGTTTACAATATCGACTAGTTTAGATTTAAACCAGCCTTTCTTTTCTTCAATAACTGGGTGCAGCTCTTTAAGTTGATCAAATAAATTCTCAAACTGGGTTTCTGTGTCGATTCTGTCGGCATGTTTTTTGGGGATATGAAATTTAAATTCAAGTGACAAGGCTTCTGTTTCTATCTGATTTAACTTCATTGTTGATAGATTATAGAGAAACTTTTCTGGGTTTTCCAGAAAGCCAAAACATAAGTGTTCCTTTGACAGAGTCTTTGACAAAGTTACGTGGAAATTCTTGCATATTTTGCTTTGCAGATCTTGTATAAAGTTGATAAATTTTATGCGACATACGATACTTAGAATGTTGATTAATTCATCAAAGGCAGTAGTTTCTGCCCTCAAACGTTTAATCAGTAAATTTGTTGATTCAATGTGAGATTTTGTGATGTGTCGAAGATTTTTAAGAGAAGGCGGAAGTTTAAATGAGTGTAAAGACTTTAAGATCTGACGTGGGAAACGGCATGACTTGAGACATTCATCAATAAACTAAAGTCCAGTTGTTTCTCTCGATCTTCTGCAGCGCATTGTCACCAGGCGATTCAGTGACTTGAATGACTGTGCAGGGAGACGCATTTTGAGAAATTTCATACACATAGTTCCCTTTATTATCTTAAAGAGAGCAAGAAAAAAGATTGGTGAAGAATAATATGAATTCATTTTATTCCGTTAGGCTCTGATCAGCTGCTACATCATGATACACATGTATTGATCCTTAATCACTCTCTTATGTATAAATATGTCAATATCTGTAATAATGCTGAATTTCTAATAATTTAGGTTGTAAGCAGCTGATGAGAACCCAACGAAATAAAATGAATTCATGTTAGTCTGCACCAATCTTTGTTCTTGCTCTCTTTAAAATTGATTTTTCATTATTCATTGAATTACTGAATAAAAAGACAAGATAATGAGAAACATATTTCATGTTATTGAACAATGTGTAGCGTGGCGTCGAGTCCCAGTTGACTATTAACACCGCTACCAAGAAAACACGTGTCAAACAAATCAGAAGGCGGATTAGAACCTATTTTATTTAATTGGCGATTCCGAGGTATCGAATGAATATCAAGATCGTGCCAAGAAATGGTACAAGCGGAAGCAAGGGAACGGAGTATGTGCGAACAAAGCCAAAAACCGCGAAACAATGATGGAAGGTGTGGAAGCACAAAATGGCTGTAATTAGCACAGTTAAACAAAAGCGCATTGGTTATATTAATAATAGTTTTCATTAAACCAATCATGTTCTCGTAATAAAAGTAAGTCACTACATATGTTTAATCAAAGCTTAGCACAACTGGAATTATATCGTTAATGTGATGTAGCGACCGAACAGCCAATATTCGGTTGGAACAACGGACTGACGAACCCTAAATTTATTCGATTAGACCAGACCAAGTTCCTCTGTATAGCTCACAACGCGTCTTTGAGATACTCGTATTATATTATATCAAAACACAAACTCTGTGTTCAATATAAACGGTTCTAATTAAGAAAACAGAACAAATTACATCAAAAATACAAAATACCTCAAACGGTACAGCCTGTGCTATACAGTCAGAAGTTTCTCTAACGCAAAGTAGTGAGCTAAACGATGAAAGAGGCAGTCAATACTAAAGGGTTTGATACCTGAGAATCAATACAAATATTCCCAACAAGATGGGATCAAATATCTATCTCTAGGGATACCAGCAATCCTCCCAAGCAGACAGTCAGAAGGTTCACGATCACACACTGAACCACGCTGTGACCTTGAGCTTAGTCAAACACGACCTTACTGTCCATGGTCCGGCAACATGTAATGGAAAATTAGGTAACAAAAGATATGTCTTTAATCAAAATCACATAATAAAGGCCCAAACGAGGAAGACTGAAGAACAAAAGATATGGTTAAACGAGATCGGAACCATGGGTAAAATACACAACAGGGAGAAGAAACAAGTAAATGACAATACTGTTCAACAAAGAAGCTGCAGAGGGATTTTCATCGTTTTCTTTCCGTCACAGTCAAATGAACATTTTGGAAATCTATTCATCACGAAACTGTGTTAAATAGAAATTGTCGAAAAAATAAATAGAAAACTAGTCTGTTTTTCTTGTTGTTGTTGTTGTTGTTGTTGTTGAGGTTTTTATCAGGAAAAGAAATTGAACAATCTGAGAAAATTTATAGGAAAATCAACTCATTACATTTGAACATGAATAAAGTAATATGTAACAAGTTGTAATGGTGGTACACGTAACACTGGATTTACTTTGTCGCTTCCTCAATAATACCGTAATGTAGGCTGTCAGATTAAAAAAATACAACATTGGTATTTCTCTGAACAGGGACAAACATGTAATGACAGTGTGTTCAAGAAATTCACATCTACACATCAACTACATGAGGTTGAAATACTTATCCAAAAACAACGAAGACAATTTGCAATCGAAACGCAGTGAACGAATGAATAATGATCAGTTACAACTAGTGACTTCGTAAGAACAGCAGTAAAATAAGAATTAATCATTAATATTTGACCTGAACAGTTTTAGTTGAAATAGACTTGAAAATGGAAGAATAAAATTGAAAGTAATTTGATGATGACCAGAGAGAAGAGAGAAGTCATACAAACAATTGCTAGGTGTGGAAACTGTTCATTATGTTCATAACGAACTAATCCAATGGTTGTTTAAACTCCTACAACGTTAATCTGATCTGATGTGTCTGTCAACTATCCCTGTTACATGTGACCTACCAATTGAACGCGACAACTAGCCGATTTATGTAACATCCCTTCTGTCAATATAGTGGTTAGGAGGTTAAGCGCACAACATGCGCACCAACACCACAACCAACACCAATACCACCAAAATCATCACCACTTCAGATTCACATACTGTACATCTGAGTGGCTACACTTTTGCGACAAAGCAAAGTCTTCTCATCAGTAGTTTATATAGATAATTGAGCTTGAAGTTTCTGCTACATTATAATAATTAGTGGAATCAACATACAGACAAATCGTTGGTAAATTTCCCAATAACTATCGAATTGAAACGGGCAAATCATCAGTGGTTGACAGAAAAATAAGGTGTAAATTAAATCTGTCTTCAAGTTTAATCTTTCATCATCGAAATGTTGTTCGAGGAATAAGCGCATCAGAGTGTGTGAGTATTTTGACGAGATCAAAATCACGAATGTTTAACTAACCAATCACACATGAGACACGTTAAATCAAGCATGCAGATCAGTGACCAGATACAATACAGATACCAGACACAAGCAAGCAGACACAAGCAAGCAGACACAAGCAAGCAGACACAACTAAGCAAACACAACTGACATTACACACTACACACACACACACCACACACCAACAAGCTGAAAACAGTCGACCAATAGTAATTCAGTGTATAGGATATACGATTGGTGGTAGAAAATTCCCAACGTGTCACCTGTCTGTCTCACACCCTCATTCAAAATATTATTTATCTTCATTTCACAACCACAAAACAGGTTGCTTGATTATGATCAATACAGCTCGGGAGTCAGCTTGTGCATCAAGACCACAACCACCACCACTACCACCATCAACACGGTGGAAACAGACCACAGTCACACGATACACAACTGAGGAGTCGAGTGAATTAGCCGGATTGGTATTGAGATATCGGGATGTTTGGAAAGACAAGAGTCGTCCATCTGCTGTTCTTCAGAAACAATTGTGGATGCAATTCGCACGTTACCTACACTCGAAGGGATGGCCGAGAAGAAAATGGTTTCATCTGCGTCGAAAGGGTCTGCACGTGCTGAAGAAACTCAATAACACGACAATCAATCAGTGGGAGGTGTCGAAAAGCAATCCAAATTCACCTGAAAATCACTCAAACCACACGTCACTCTCCAGTTCCAATGAAAATCGACACGTGAACGTGAACGGACAAAGTGATTCGGTAAGTTCGCCTTTCCCAATCACGTGCTAATTGTTTTCATCGAATTCAGGTGACCGAGAACCAGTCGAGTGTGCATCAAATCAACTTGCCTACACTCACCCCCTCACCAGTGATAACCATCACCTCCAAACATCCCACATCAACACTCAGTCCTCCTACAAACCATGTGCAACCGAATCCCATACACACAACTGGTCCAAAAATCTTGAACGCATTCTCAACAGCTCACATGTCTCAACAACTGGTGATTCCACATGATGCTCTAGTGCTGCAACCAACCACCACCAACCTCAACAACAACCACAACAACATGGTTGGTGAGGTGGCGATTAACACTAACCGAGTCGCGTTACTGACTCCTCTCCAATGTGTCTCGTTCGGAGTCGCGAAAACCCATCCTGCAGACGAATCTCCTATTCAAGAAGTGAATATCTCGAACTCACCATCCAACCAAACGAGTCGCATTCCTCTGACTGCAACAATTGATTTATCAACGTGTAGCGAGGACGAGGAGAGCTATCCAGAGTTGAGTGGAACGCGAAATCAGGCGAACACGAATCAGGTGAATGATTTTGGTGAAAATGCCAAGGATTGTATCACGTAAGTAGGACACCTCTTTTCAACTGACACGTTTCACCTTATGTTATTCCTGTTGTTGTTGTTGTTGTTATACTCTCTGTGAAAACTAGACTAATCAGTAGGATTTGATTCACACAAGCAGTGAGTGAACCACACGACGAGGTAGATGGATAGATAGACAAATAGATAGACAGACTGACGGACAAATAAACAGTACTCTGTTCACTTACGTTCAATGGTGTTCCATCTCACTGAAGTGTCTTCGTCGCACGTTGTGCATCACTCAATATCTTGATTATTGTTGTTAATATGGGGTGTGTGTGTGTGGATGCCTACTGAATATGAGGGTATCGAGTGAAAATTCCTATTTAGTTGTGTTTGTCAGTTGTGTATATGGTGTAGTAGATTTGATGATTAGGATATATGCGACGAATTTTATGTATATAGAAGCATATGTATATCATGTCTCCTACATCGCCCTGGTGATTATAAACAGATGTTCAAACTGTGACTTGTTTTTGTAGATCCGAATGTGAGAGAACCCCATTGTCAGAGATGTTGATTCACAAGCAAATGAAGTGCCTAGATCTGAAGATTGAAATTCTCCAGATGAAGAAGCAATATTGGTCCGAGAAACTGAACTCATCATCAGAAAGCTGAATGTTGGGTGAAAGCCAATCTTCACATGAACTACCACTGTGATTGACATCAATTCTATCCACATATGGATAGTAAATTCAATTGTAAATTCAATGTATACATATGTATGTATAGGTATTGTGACTGACGAACATTGTTCTCCCTTTTCATCATTATTATCTATTCGTGTTGTGTGTGTGTGCGTGTGTGAATTTGTCTGTCAGTTAGTCCTTTTGTTTCGAATCCATTTGAAGTGGACTGTTGTTCAATACTGCTCTGTTTCAAATGTTCACTACTCTATTGACTACTCTGTTGAATACTGTACATAATTAAATTTAAATGTTGGTTTTGTAAAAATTTTATTTTGTCTTTGAATTAATTTATGAACGTGATCGACCATTGGTTGTGTGGATGACGGATGATACTTGACTTTGAACACAAATATGTTAGAACTTTGTCAATTTTATTTCTTATCATGATGATCAATTGGTTTGATTTGTATTTATTCTAGTGATTTCTGTGTAATTAACTGCTTCATTGATATTTCCATTTATGATACATATTCGATATATGTGTAGAGTTGATGTCAACTTGAAATTCTTGATGACCACATGTGACAGAGATAGGAGAGAATAAATGGTCTCATTTGAATCATGATGTGAATGATAATAATAATAATGTTGATCTTTGTTTTCGAATATGTTCACTCTGTTTCCTGTTAACTTGTTTGTGAAATGAGTTGTTCACAGAGAATTTGTATAAACCTTCATTGCCTGTTCTGCACAATTTCAACTATGTCCTAGTTAATGGTGGAGGAATCATGTTGAGTAGGTAGAATAGAATAGAATAATTGACTGATGATTGAGTTTTATTTCGTGTTCAACATGTATGTGGAAATTCGTACATTTGACTGTTTTATTTTGTCGAATATGATTTAGAGAACGATTTGTTAGAATTGTCTTTCAATGTGTGATTTGTCCGATGATGTTTTTTCGTTCGTAAGTCAACTAGTTTCATAATATCCTTAGGTTATCAGTCAGTTGGATTGAGGTGCACATGCAGAATCTTTGTTGCTAGTCTTTGATTATCTAGGAATCTAGAACAACATATATAAGCGAACAATATTGTTTTCTATTAGATCCTCATCAGGCTTTACTCTAATATACAGTAATATTTATATGCATATACGAAATAATTAAACCAATCAAGGTAGTTTATAAGTCAATGATAACAATGGAAAAGAGTACATAATAAGTAAAATGTGAAAAGTTGTTGCGATATTCAGGAAAATATCCCAGAAATTATCCTGTTAAGCCTAATTCTATCCTTGGACATGAAATAGTATCATCTTATTGGCCAATATTTATTTAACGTGTCATTTTCCTACTGGCCATTATTGTACAATGTTATTTTCTATTTTATGGTACGTTGTGGACTGTTTGACTGGTATATAAACAAAGTATGTTTGGAATATAATGATTCATATATCCGAGGCTGTGACTTGCGTTCTGGACTCCACTGGCTGGGTTAGACAGGGAAGCGAGACCAATCAGAACACTAGGTCGTTCTACGTGTTTGTGTGTCTTTGGTCCGATCAATAATTCGCTACCCTTAATCAGCTTTATTTTTCACGTTATAACAAAAGTACAAATTGATGGTGTGACAACAGGTGCTTTAGTTTTTGATAAGCAATAATAATAAATGTTCAAATCAATGTTACATAATCTGAAATAGGTCAATGATTAGAAAAATATAGAAACTGAGATAACAATTATAAAATTATAAGGTGACGTAATAAAAAATGTTCAGATAATTGGACCATGAAACGTGTAGTTGAGAGAAAATAAAGTGGTAGGAGGGTGTGAAGAAAAATAATAAACGAAGAGACAGTCAGAAAAGAGACAAATAAATTCATTTATTACTTAAGGCCAAGGGAGAGATAAGGGAGTTACAAATTTCTTCTGAACACAATGACTTGGCTTGTTGGCTCGGATTCCTATAGCTTCTGCTATGTGTAAGAGACGAGATCGAACACCATAAGGAAAACTAGTGGGAATCCGATAAATAACTTTGAACGACTTGTTTCTGTCCACTATATGATCGCTATCGATCAAGTGTGATAAAACCGAGCTGCGTATTGTTTTGACGTAACCTTTTCCTAACCACGAATGGAGGTGTTCACTGACTCGTTGGTTCAGTTGCCTGGTAGTGCGCCCAATATAGCTTTCTCCACAGGAGCAGCTGAAGTCGTAGATACACATAGAAGTGGTATAACCAGGTAACTTATCCTTCAATTGCGGAATCACCATCGATCGGGTCGAATACGATAGGCAGAGGTTGGCAGCGTTAAACGTTCTCTTTACTGCTCTAGTCAATCTATCCCGTAATACATCGCTAGCCAAATCACCATTGAATTGCAGTTTCAAGAAAAGCGGTTTCTTATTAGCCGTCAGGGTCACTATTTTCCTCTTTTGTACGCGCAAGTGTTTCTTCAGGAAACCCGGTGGATATCCCAATTCAATCAAAATATTATGAATGTGTTGTAATTCTCTATCAATAGTGTCGACTGAGCATATCCTCAGAGCTCTATTTGCAAAACATTTGACTAAGTTTCTCTTATAATGAAGAGGCACAAAGCTTAAAAAATGTGTGTATTGGCTTGGAGAAGAACTTTTTCTATACACACCCCTGCTGATAGAACCATTTTCTTTTCTACTTAACAAAACGTCCAGAAAATTTTGTTTGTTATCTATTTCCTCCTCACATGTAAATTTAATGGCAGGATGTTTGTTATTAAATAGTTCCAGTAGTTGTTCTTTTCTAATGTTCTGATCGGCAATGATGAAGGTGTCATCAACGTAACGACAGTAGAAATCCAGTTTATTGATAACCTCCTTGAGAGGTCCGTTTTCTAGTTTCGCCAGAAAAAAATCCGCAAGGATGGGACCTAGTGGCGAACCCATCGCTATACCATCAATTTGTCTATAATATGTGTTATTAAAGACAAAATGGACATTCATTGTGCATTTCAAAAGTAATTCTTTAAGACTAACCCCAGGAATTCCAATACTGATTTGTTTTTCCTACAGTTGTTGGCACGCAAAATCGATAGTCTTTGTTAACGGTACATTGGTGAACAGGGAAGCAACATCTAAAGATATCGTTCGTTTCCAATTTAAATTTATATGTTCCACTTCAGATATGAAATCGAATACGTCTTTCACGCTTCTATTGACGACTAATTTGTGTAAGGGGTTTAGGATACGAACTAGCCACTTTGCAGTTTTATGATAAGGCGAATTATACATATCTAAAACTGGGCGAAGAGGAAGACCTGTCTTGTGAACTTTAGGTAAACCATATAGTCGCGGTGTGTTCGATCCAGTAGGCTTGAGTGGGTCATGTAAATCAGGAGTAAGAATACCTTTATTTTTAAATTCCTACAGTGAGATAGTCAGCAATTTTTCTGCCTTCATATTTAAGTACTTAAAGTCGCTGAGTTTCTGAAATTTTGTCGGATCATTCAAAATCACGTTTATTTTATTAATGTAATCAGCTTTGTTCATAACAACTAGCCCCCCTCCTTTGTCCAGCTTGCTTATGATTAGAGTATTGTCGTTTCTAAGTACATGTAAAGCATCTCGATGCTGTTTGGTAAGTGGATTTTTGACTGTACATTTACCAACGTGGTCTTAAACCTGGTTAGTCCATCAGAAGTAGGCACCAAATATGTTGTTTGTGTAAATAGATTTTCAAACTGTACATCTGTATCTCGTTGCTTTATTTTATTACTATAGTCGCAAAACCTATGGCCGAGTGACAATGCCTCTACTTTCAATGCGTCTAACTCAACACTAGAGAAATCGTCGCGCCTTTACATAATGAAGGAGATCTCAGTTATATTTATTTAAGCGTATATTGTCAAGATGTAGTGTCAGTTATTATGCCAAGCCCATATACCTTATTCGAGCTTTCGGACATCCCATTCTATTCATTTTACTTGAGCCATACATTGACCTAGTTATTTATTCGCTTATCAATCTAGACTGTTTTTATATGAGCGTATATGTGTGTGGCCTTCTTATTCCATTAATCACATGTCTGTAGCTTTATTTTGTCTGACTATAAATATTGAGTAACACTTGACAAAGATGGAGTTGGCTTCCCAACCATCCTCCCCGAGCGTCATTTCGCTTTGTTCTATCGCGTTCACTTTACATACAAAATATATGTATTCAATGGCCATTCTCGTTAATTGACTTATTTAATTCGGTTATTGGCTAACGCGATTTAAGTCGACGATGATAAACGAGAATCAGCGATAACAAACATCTATACGATCGAGGAGTCAGATCAAACGGCCACAAAGATGTGTTGATCGAACTTCTGTGTAGTAAGTTGTATAATGGAGCGGTAAAATTGTGGAAGTGTGGTGCATACGGCGGTGGTTTACATGAATATGTGAATTGTTATATCCCAGTGAAGATTACGTTGCGAGTAACGTATGAGACTTATTAATGGACTATTATTATTTATATATTCTCATGGTATAAATATTCAGTAACTAGATTATGTATATCTATATTCCGCTTGTTATAAGCTTTATTTTATATATTATTATTGTACGATTTACGGTTCTTAAGCTATGTTCAATTTATTAACTACTGCCTCCCGCATTCACAGCCACTTTTTGGCTTTATTGTGTACAAATGTTATTTCCTATTTTGTGGTGCGTTGCAGTCTGTTTGTTTGATATATAAACACAGTATGTTTGAAATATATGATTGGCATAGTGGAAGCTGGTATTGGTGTTCTGGACTCAAGTGGACGGGCTAGACGGACATAGGACCAATAAGGACGCTAGGCTGCCCATACCCGTCGAACGACATTGGTTTGGCACAGTGCTAAGATTGTATAAGCCGTATTTTAACCGGCGAATAAATCACGTGATAACTAGCCAGTCAGTCATAAAGTCACAACATGAATATTTGACTGAAATGCAATCGGGAGTGGAAATTAAGAAATTCAACCGATGAGGCATTAAAGAATTGTAAATTGTCGATTTAACAAAGTGTTCATCGGTGGTGAGACTATTTATAAATGCGAAATAATGATAAGGAAACAGGTTGATGTTCGGCAGTCGTGGATCCACTGTGATAGATGGTTAACGAATGAATACACAATAAATAGGATTGATATCTAATCAGAATGATTTCGCATGAATTCATCAAGCACATTTCTGTAAGTTTGGATCTACTTGTATATTACCATCACAGACTGTGTGTAAGTACTCTGACAAATTGACTCTTGCAACACATTATCATGCGTCTTATCTATAGGTGGTAATAAGATATTATAGATATTGTAATTGTTAGCTGGGTTGTCATGAGTTTTTAGACAACAATTGTTTTGATGTGTTCAGAAGGAGTTAGTTGGTAACTGTTGGATATAGTTAACCAATATTCAACAGAAATTCTCCACCATTATCGAATAATCGAATTCAAATCTTGTTTAATTACTCAACTTGGTAATTTTATATATGATCTGTCGAACATCATTTGATTGATCGTCTATACCGATGAGACACTTGTTTCTCTTAATATTTCTTTGAGTTGTTCAATCAATTGTTTATTCTGTCTGCAACACAGGGAATTCATCGAAACATTTTGTATAAGATTTAGTAAACCGTGTGCCGGAAAAATATGTGATCACTCCAGGCGGAGTTAATGTAAATTGTAATATCTTTCTGATTGAATTGTTTGGTGAAGGGATTTTCGATTCTCATATTGATTTTGTTAAACTTTTGTGTGGATAGATTTGGCATAGAAAGTGTTTTACGGTTAATTCATTTGTAACTGTTAGAAATTTGTGGACTAGTTGAAAAGCTATTTTCCTTTTTGAGTATGGTTTCAATACGGTATAAACGTGTGATACTCTACAGAAGGAAGAACATCTTTGCATTCCTATTCAAATGAATATTTTGATCAGTAGAAGTTTGATATTTACTTATTGTGATGATTTTGGATATTGCGCACGAGCATTTCCCGATCGCTTCGGATTTGTTATGGTAATTGGAATGACAAAGGTTATCGATAATAATAATCGATGGTATCCCGGTGTCAAGTGTCGACATTCCGCATGCTTTTAAAATTATCAGCAGACAAAAAAGTATGGCTGCTCGCCGTTTTGGTGAAGCGATAGCGATAAAAAAACTCAAACCGGATTTATTTATTCAAAAGGAGACAGTAATAAACTTATTATTACCCTGGTAACCCAATTTTTTCGTTTTTGTTTTTTCGTTGTTGGTTATTTGTGTCATTTTATTTATTTATTTATTTTTAAATATTTAGTTTGTGTTATATTCCTCTACCATTACCGAATTCCTAAACCACCCTTTCATTCACACATTTCCGCTCACTTGATCCTCTTAAATTATGTGAACTTTTCAAATTCTATTCAGTTATTATGTAACGCATCTTATCAGTTTTTTAATT